CTGGTTTCTAGCACGCTGGCTGCAGCCAGCAGGGCTTCCTCCGCAGAAGCAAAGACTTGCTGGGCGCCCAGGGCTCCAGAAACGCCCAGCAGCGTGGCACAGAAGTCGGAGAGCAGCTCTTCGTCCCCGCCATGATAAAGGGCTAGAGTGTGCGCATAGGCGAACAGCACGTTGGGGAGCTGGAAGCGCACGAGCGGCGAGGGTGGGCAGCGACTCAGGCTGGCCAGCGCAGGGATGTGGGTGGGCACTGAGGGCCTGCAGGCCCTGGGGGCGTCTCCAGGAACTGGCTCCGCAGGGGCGGGTTCTAGCTCCACAGGTTCACTGCTGGGGACACCATCTAACTCCTCCAGAAGCCGCGGCCCGGCCCCACAGTCCCACCACCACGGCCGCCACGGAGGCAGCAGCTTCCCGGCCTCGCCGCGGCTCAGCAACCGCTCGAAGGAAGCCTTCTCCGCGGGTGCCAACTCTTCCCAGAGTCTGGAAAGGCCGCCGGGTGCCGGGCCAGTGCTCAGGCCTGCCTCCTCGGGGTCGTCCTCTGTCTCGCGTTGCTGGCGCAGCCGGCGTAGAGCACATGCTAGGCGGCTAGGCGAGGCGCTGCGGCCGCGGAGCTCTCTCAGCACCTGGTCACGGTAGAAGTCTTCGGCGCAGGCACCATGCGCCCGATAGCAGCGCAGCGAACAGTAGGGCACATTACAGCGTGGACAGGTGTAGCGCGCTGGCTGGGCCTCCCCGCCTGGGCAGAAACCGCACAGCCCGGCCGGCTCCATGGCAACTAGAGCAGCTAGCTAACAGCGAACGCGAGCAGCTAGCTAACAGCGAACGCGAGCACCCTAGCGCAGCCACTTCCGGCGCATCTTCAGTTACTTCCGCCTCTTTGCCAGGCCAAGGGAGCTTTCGGTTCGGCAAAGCTCGGAGGCTTCTCGGCAATTTCCGCCCACCATCATAAGCCAAGCCTCTCCCTTCTCTCAAGTAGCACTTTGGGCAGGCGCAGAAACCTAACGCAACTTACGAGCCCCGCCCACTACGGCGATGACGCACAAGATCTGAAAAATGCGCAGGCGAACACTACGCTGGTCCTCGCTCGCCCCCTAGTGGTTGACCAAACCCTGCCCCATCCCCGCCCCACAAGTTTCCTAAAAGTGGAAAACAACTTTTCTATAAGAGCTGGGGGCATGGGCTGGAGTTGTGGCTCAGTGGTAGAGCGCTTGCCTAGCCTGTGTGAGGCACTGGGTACGATTCTCAGCGCCACAATAAAATAAATAAAGGTCCATTGACAACTAAAAATAAAAAAATAAAAAATACAAAGCTGGGGGCAGAAATCATCTATACTAAGCACCTACTTTGGGCCACTAATCGTGCCAGTTCTATGGGAGATAAGATTCCTCTCTATACTGGAGGAACAGACATTTTGCTAGAGGACATAGACAATTTAAGGGGCAGTTAGAGTGGAAGAAAGGCCTAGACCTGGGTGTTGGGGGCATTGCTTTAAAAGAAGGCAATGTTTAACAAATATCTGAGCTTCTGTTCAATTCCCAACCTAAACCTGCCTCTTCCTTCATTAAATACTTTGATTAAATATCCAATAGTAGTCAGGCACTGTGAGGCCTGTAATCCCAACTACTTGAGAGGCTGAGGCAGGATGATAGCAAGTTAGGGACCAGCCTGGACAATTTAGCAGGACCCAAAATAAACAATAAGGGCTGGGGATGTAGTTCACTATGTATATTATGTTTATATACACAAACACATACTCACAATATTTATATACACATAAAATCTTTTTTTTTCTTTTTTTTTAATATTTATTTTTTTTTAGTTCTCAGCGGACACAAACATCTTTGTTGGTATGTGGTGCTGAGGATCGAACCCGGGCCACACACATGCCAGGCGAGCGCGCTACCACTGAGCCACATCCCCAGCCCCTATATACACATAAAATCTTCATTCACCTAATTCTGTTAAATGTAGACTCCATATTGAGGACCAAGAACACAATGAGGATCAAGGAGATGATATTCCTGTCCTAAAGTTATCTTCTGGTGTAAAAGAGATGATGAACCACAAACACCAATGAGGTGTTTTTGTTTGTTTTTGTTTTACATACTGAGGAATGAACCCAGGGGCACTTAACCACTGAATTGCATCCCCAGCACCCTGCTCCTGCACCACACACATTTTTAAATTTTGAGAACAGAGTCTCAAGTTGCTGAGGCTGGCCACAAACTTGTCATTCTCCTGCCTTAACCTTTTCAGTTGCTGGGATTACAGATATGTACCACCACATCTGTCTGAAAGATGAGGTCTTGATCTATGGTACCTATGAAATGTATCCTGGTTCTTTGGTCACTCTCACATTCATTCCCACATCCTGTCACTTCTGCCTCTGAAATATCTTACATCTATCTTGATATGTATCATTTATCTCCCTACAAAGACTTGGAGACTTGGATGGACCACCACTGATGGTCTAAGCTACCTGCCTCCTCATCAGATGACAGTGCCTTAACTGTTTTCCTAACTTCCTCCAGAAAAAAAAGCCTGAGAAATAGATTATAGGGCTGGGGATATAGCTCAGTGGTAGAGCATTTGCCTTGACTAGTCAAGGCTTGGTTTGATTTCCAGCACTGAAAAGTGAAAAACCCACAAGAATTTAGATCACAAATCAGATTACATCAGTCCCTTGCTTAAATCCTCTTCATGACTCTCTGTTGCTTTTAGACTCCACCCCAGCTATGGTGTGAATCAAAACTCATGTTGAGACAGGCACTGTGGGCCACAACCATAATCCCAGCGGTTTGGGAGACTGAGGCTGGAGGATTGTGAGTTCAAAGTTAGCTTCATCAATTTAGCAAGGCCCTAAGCAATTTAGCAAGACCCTGTCTCTAAATAAGATATAAAAAGCAGCTGGGGATGTGACTCTGCGGTTAACTGCACCTGGATTTACTCCCTTGTACCAAAGCAAACAAAACCAAAACCAAAAAACTCCACAAAAAACCAAAAACAAACATGTTTAAATGTAATCTTTTTTGTGAGGCATTAAGAGGCAAAACCTTTTAGAAGTGGTTAAGTCCAAGGTTCTACCTTAATGGATTGATCCATTCATGGATTAATGCAGTGTGGATAAAATAAAGGAGTTCTTTCCCATGGCTAACAAGGTCCTGCAGAATCTGCTGCACTCACTAGACATCACTTCTGCTTCTGCCCTTGGAAGCCTCTTGGCTGGAACTCTCCCCAGCTTAACACTTGGTTATTTCAGGACTCACATCCTCTCCTCAGTGGTCTTCCTTAGGGATGCTCCTAAGTAC